GAACTCCTGACCTCAAATGTTCCGCCCATCTCAGTCTCCCAAAGTGTTGGGATTACAGATGTGAGCCACAGTGCCCAGCCTGAGCCTCTACTCTGTAGGAGCCCTTTGGGGACAACTCCCAGAAAGCCAGTGCAGCACCACATTTTCCTCTCTGCATCCTCTGTGAAAGAACCTAGGACCTGTCCCAAAGCTCTCTGCTTGTGACACCTTTCAGGGCGGCACTCTGCCTTCTGCATGGTGAGGTGGGCCACAGTGAGAAGTGTGACCCTTATGGCTCCCTCAGTGCTCCAGAGGCTCAGGGCAGGCGGGGCAGACCAGAGCAGCCAGGAGAGCGGGCAGCGGTTGTGGCCAGCAGGCTCCTGGGCTTACCTGGCAGAAGGGGCCCAGTAGAGGGCCTCCCAGTTCACCGAATAGAAGAGGACCCCAGGCGGGGCGCGGCGGCTCACGCCTGTAATCCCAGCTCTTTGGGAGGCTGAGGTGGGTGGGTCACTTGAGGCCAGGAGTGCGAGATCAGCCTGGCTAATATGGTGAAACCCCGTCTCTACCAAAAATACGAAACTTGCTGGGCGTGGTGGTGGGCGCCTGTAATCCCAGCTACTCAGGAGGCCGAGGCACAAGAATCACTTGAACCCGGGAGGCGGAGGTTGCAGTGAGCTGAGATAGCGCCACTGCACTCCAGCCTGGGTGATAGCATGAGACTCAGTCTCAAAAAACAAAAGAAAACACAACAAAAAACCCAGAAAAACAAAAAGAGGACTCCAGTCTCCAAAGGATGACGACTGGGCCTCATGGGCCCTGAGAAATTACGGCGGCCTGCACTTTGCCCCCCTGGATCTAACTACTGCTGCGGGTGCTAGTGGCAGAAAGGAAGAACTCCATAGCCGATGAGGTGACGAATGGGAAGGGTCTGAATGTGGATAGTGTGGTGACACTGTCCTAGCAGCGCTGCCAAGGGTAAAGGAAGGAAAGGAGACTAGCGCTTGGAAAGTGAAGACATGGATTAGAACCTTGGTGCCGCTGCTCACTAGAGAGAGGACTTGGCAAGCCCTTCAGCTCCCTGGTTGATCCTGTGTACCTCCTGTTCCCTAGGGCCTGCGTCTGTGTCTGCCATGGTGCATGGCACGGGCTTATGGTCTATTATGTATGTACTTTATAGTTCCACACCCATTCTTCTGCTTCCCACCAGATACTGAGCATGCTGGTGTCAGGGACTATGTCTCGTTCATCTTTGATTTTTCCAGTGCCCAACAAAGAGAACTGAAGGAGGTTAATGGAAGGAGTCAGACATTTCCCCAGTGGGGAAACAGCTCCTGCATCCACCATTTTTCCAATCTCCCCCCACCCTCTGCCTCCCATCTTCCTCCCTCCACCCCACTCACTGTCACTCAGTGAGTAGGGGCAGAGCGGAATTCAAGCCCAGGGGCCTCTCAGGCCACTTGGAAGTTTACACTCCTGGTAACCATGCTTCCATCCGAGGTTCTCTAACTTGAGCAAACACTGGCACCCCCAGGGAGGGCTTATTTCAACACGGGTGCCTGGGCTCCAACACTTGCCCTTCTGGTGCAGTAGGCCAGAGTCTGGAAATCAGCAATGCTAAGTTCCCAGATGATGCTGAAGCTGCTGGTCCCAGGCCCACGCGCTAGGAACCGCAGCTACCAGGCCTCCCTGATGTAAATGTGGCTGTGCTTTCCTGAAGGGCTGGGCACATGCCCCTTCCTCATGGTGGGGAGACTTGACAGGAGCAGATTAGTGACTCATCAGAATAGAAATCTACATTCATATGTATATGCTGACATATACATATAAATAAGAATATACATATACATATATATACATATACATAAGAAAGTTTTGATCACTTAGAACCCAGAGCTGGGCACGGTGGGTGGCCCACACCTGTAATCCCAGCATTTTGGGAGGCCAAGGCAGGCAGATCACCTGAGGTTGGGAGTTCGAGACTAGCCTGACCAACTTGGAGAAACCCATCTCTACTAAAAATACAAAATTAGCCGGATGTGTTGGCACCCGCCTGTAATCCCAGCTACTTGGGGGGCTGAGGCAGGAGAATCGTTTGAACCTGGGAGGTGGAGGTTGCGGTGAGCTGAGATTGTGCCATTGCATTCCAGCCTGGGCAACAAGAGCGAAACTATCTCAAAACCAAACCAAACCAAACCAAACCAAACCAAAAAAATCCCAGAAATGCCACTTGACTTGAAGCTAGACTCTGAATTCAAATCCAACTGGTACCCCTTTTCACTGGGACTGTGACAAAAACATATAACCTCCCTCAGACTATTTTTCCCTATCGTAAATGGGAATATGAATGCCTACTTCAGAGGATTATGGTGCACATTGGATGCCAAGGTTCTGGCGCACATCGGGCGCTCAGTTATTGAGTGGAGTTTGGATTTAATTAAGAAACATCATTTGGTGTTTTTCTTTCACTATGGACATGAGGAAACAGTACAAAATAAAAGTGGGTATTGGGGATTTAGTGAGATGCTATAAAACACATTCATTTCAATATTGCAGACAGATCATGGATAATGAATGTGGATGTGATCTGTATTTTTCTTGGAGATCCTCCCAGGCCGTATCATCCAAGTGGGGTCCAGCACTCAACTTGGTGTTTTGCTTTGTTTATTACCAGGAGATCAAGGCACTTTTGAACTTGGGGTGGTTGGGCTGTGGGGGCCTGCAGGAGAGTTAACTCCCACACTCAACCTAGCATGAGGGCAGTGATGGGGAGCACCAGGGTTGTTGATATTAGTAATAATTACAGCTGCCGTTTACCATATCACAACTAGCCACTGAGCCTCGAGGGAAGTTATTCACCCTCTCTGGGCTGTTACAGGAAACTAATAAGAGTGTAATTGTTGGGATCCAGGAAGGGTTACCTATTAGCTCTTAGAACAGCACCTAGCACACAGTGACCACTCAGTGACTATTAGCCCACGTTATTTAATGAGAACCTACTCTATTCCCAGCACACCTCAGAGGTCATCCATTTATTCTGTGGACACAGGAAGGCTCAAGAGATTCAATAATGAACAACAGAGTCTACTTTTTCAAATACCATTTCTTTTTTTTTTTTTCTTTTTGAGATGGAGTTTTACTCTTGTTGCCCAGGCTGGAGTGCAATGGCTTGATCTTGACTCACTGCAACCTCCGCCTACCGGGTTCAAGTGATTCTCCTGCCTCAGCCTCCCAAGTAGCTCAGACTACAGGCATGCACCACCATGCCCGGCTAATTTTGTATTTTTAGTAGAGACGGGGTTTCTTCATGTTGGTCAGTGGTCTCGAACTCCCAACCTCAGGTGATCCGCCTGCCTCGGCCTCCCAGAGTGCTGGGATTACAGGCATGAGACACCACGCTCGGCTTCAGATATCACTTCTAAAACACAGGAGGTGTTGGAATGGAAAAAGAGGCTTGTCTGGGGCCACACAGCTAATAAGTAGGTCAGCTGAGATTGAAATCCTGATCCAATGGACTCATTCTACACTGCAATGCTGCCCATAAGTAGCTTCTTCCTTACCTTCTCATCAAATGTTGATAAGTATAATTTTTACCAAGGAAGATGGTAGATACAAATTTGTAGTTTTCAGACATTTTTAGTTGATTTATATATCTCAAATAGTAGTTTATATTCATATAATGCATTCATTATAAAATATGCAGTGGTATAGAGATTTGTATGTCTATAGATTTTTTTTAATTTAGGTTTATAAATAGTTTAGAACAGGTTGCAAAAACATCATCTGTTGCTCTTTTTAATATATCTTGAGCATGCTATGACACATTTTGAAATAATTTGCTTCAGAAAAAAGCACTGCTCTTCTCTCTCTGTCTTTTTTCCTCCAAATGTAACTGTAAATATTACTTTGATGTATGTAATTGCTTCATCCCTCTCCTTTTGACGGAAGGCTTCTAAACCTTCCATCTCCCATCTCTTGCTATTGTCAAGAAATAAGGAAAATGGACTTAAAATGCATTATTCAAATGTATTTAATGTAAACATTAAAGAAGTCTGAGAACAGCCACAAATTTCCCTCTACTCAAAGTGGTTTTGCAAAAACACCTCAAGTATTCTATCATCTTACCAGCATTCATTTACTCTGCTTAGGAGAACTATTTATTCCAGAGCATTTTAGAATTCCAAGACTGCTTATAGTGTCTGGCATATAGTAGGGAATGAAGGATGTTTGTTGGATGGACTTGAATTGGGATATGAGGATTGATATAACTTGTAAGGACCCTTGGGTACCTCTAGGAACAGAAGCCACCCCCAGGAATGCTTGGCCAGGGAGTCCTGCCTGAGCATCAGAGAGACAGTTCTGCACATGAGGATGTGGCCCAGGTTTAGTCTGCTGGGCAGGGCTGGGCAGTGCACAGCTGGATTTGACTTTAGGTCTTGTCTCTCATCAGTAATTCAATCAAGTTAGCACTCCATTCTGAGATTTTTGACTAGTCTGCGAGCTCCTTGAGGGAGACACTTTGTCTTTGGTCTCTGCATTTTCAGTAGCCTGTGCAAGTTTTGATGCCATCACTGCTCAGCAAACGTTATTCTCAATAGAAGGACGAAGGAAATAGCAATGTAAGCCCTTGGCTCTCTCTTGTCCGCTTGCTGTGAGACTCCAGGGTAAACTTGTGGTGGGATCCGTGATCCATCATTCAAATCATTCACTGGCAGAGGAAGAGAAGCCTCCCCATCACTGGCTCTCTCTGGGCTTGTTTGGAGACCTGGGAGGGGTGGGTGGAAGGAGGCCTGGCCTGCAGAGCTGCAGAGGTGGGGGCTTCTCAGCCTCGCTTTGTATCACACACCTTCTGGCTGCTCAACCCCAGCCAAGCCCCTTCTCCTGTACCTTGGTCTCTGTCTGACCTCTAAGTCACTACAGGTCATTCCATCACATTGACAATTCCCGTGTGTGTGATGGTCAGCTTATTTGCTACAGAATTAACATTTTCACTCCTCTGTTAATAAACAAGTAAATATTCTGACCTGTTTTTTGGCAGACGGAAGTTCTGGAATTTCAAATCGTTGGTTCCTTCTTTAGTTGTCCTTCTATTGCCCCTGGGACGAAAGAAAATAAATTATAGCTGGGAAATAGCAAGAAGCTAGGGGAAAAATTAATTAAGTGCATTCATTCATAGAAACAACCACCCAGTCAGATTTAAGTAATTATGTCTCACACATAATTCTGAATCTCTCTTTGCATTACCGCTAGGGTTAAAGAAAATCTGTGTTTAAAGTAATCCAATTACTTAATTTTTAAATGTAAGAGCTTTATTTGACAGGAAACAGTAGTGTGGGGCAGAAGAAGTGCCCAGTCAAGACAAGGATGTGGGCTGCCTCTCCCTCATCAGCAGGGTGACCTTGGTACCGTCCTCAAGCTCTGCCAGTATCTGTCTCCTCTGTAAAATGGAGAATATCGTACTTTTGCCACACGGTTGATGAGAGGCTGTTAAGAAATTTGAGGGACAGCAACCATAAACCAGGCAATGTCTCAGATGCTTTCCTATGTTTGTTGAATTTCATAAAAATCTAGCCAACATTATCCAACGTGGGAAGACAGACTATTTAGCAATAGCAACTCTGATTCAAGTAATATTTATTGAGCTCCCATATCATTTAGGCAGTTTGCTAAGGCACTTTCTATGAAGAGATTAACTTATTTTTCATTGAGTTAATTAGCTAACATCCATTAAATACATTCACTGTCATAAAGCATCATTGTTATACATTCCTAGTTCATTTAATCAGCCAAGTTTCCTACACTTTCCTTTCTTTTGCAGGCATTTCATGAGCTCTATCAAACACTAACTGGTGATTTCTTTCCTCCACAAATGCTCCTGACAATAGCCTCCTTAGCTCAGCTACCCTGTTTGTCCTCCCAGTTCCACTTGGAGCAAATCTGCCTCTTCCTGATCCTTGGACTTTCTCTGCTCCCTCCCACGGGGCCCTTTCAGGTACCGTTCCCCCTTTCTCAGATGCCCTTGTCTTCCTTCTTATTAATGGCAACTCTTACTTCCAAACTCAGCTCAAGTGCTACCTCCTCAGAGAATCCTCCTCGACCTCTCAGACTCGCTCCTTCACAGCACTTGCCTGAGTTTTAATTTGACTTCTGTTTTAACTGGTAACGTGTGTTCACATCTGACTGTTCAACTGCCATCTCCACTAAAGCAGAGATTGGCAGGGCTTAGCATCCCCAGGGGCTGGGTCAGTGCCTGGTCCACCGAGGAGCTGAGTGGACACTCATACAGGGACACACAAAACTAAAGAAGTCCAGGAAATACTTCAGGATGACTTCAAACTCTCTCTTCATCTTGGACTTTGCCTGTAGCCCATAGAATAGAACATAATACATTTAAAAATCTGTGAGTTGTTTGGGTATATTTTGTTACTGTGTATATTGACCATCGAGAAAGATGATGGCTTATTTCATTATCATTAATTTCATTTTTCCATTTTTTATTTTAAAATTTCATTATTATACTATTTCACATATTTCATTATTCATTTTTTTTCTATCTAAATACAGCTGAATTCGCAAATTTCCATCTGCACTCTGACTTCTCTACTAAGTTTCAGGCATGAACACTGAATTATTTTCTGGATCTTTCTAATTGGTTATTCTCCAGCAGGCACAGGACTTTTTCCTAGTGAGAGAATCCGTTGCTCACATGGTTTCCAAACCAGTAGCCTGGGTGCTAACCTTGAGTCTTCCCACCCCTCCCCCTCTATCATTGCTATCATCCTAATCTGTTACCAGATCCTAACAGTCAGAGTCCCCAAATGCCTCCTGACTCTATCTCTTCTTTGTCACTTTCTTGAGCTATTTAATATATTCAGCCTTACTTCTGCTTTCAGTATCTCTAGGCTGACCTCCAGCATCTACCCCAACTTCTTTCCTGGCCTCCGGGGTTCCAATCCATACACCAAACTGCAGCAAGCACAACCTTTGTAATTATTAATAGCAGAATATTATCAAGTCACCTCCTTGAGAATCCTCATCAGTTCTCTATTCCTGAAAGAGAAAACCCAAACTCTTAACCACGGTAGCTAAGTTTCCTGCCCCAGTGGCCTGGAATCCCATTTCTGTTGCTTCTTTATTTCCTGCTACCGTCTCTCTCTGCCAGGTCATCCCACACTGTGGCCTCTGGGCCAGACCTTTTTTTCCTTAATGCTCCCATATCATTGATCTAATTATTCTTTTTGCCTCCTCTGGGCCTGGCAAAATGCTTTTCATTCTTCAAGGTCAAGTTCAAATATTACTTCCCTATGAATTCTTCCCTGCTGCTTCCGCTTTGAGTCCCTCTGGTACATTTGCATACCTCTCTATTGCCATTCATTTCGTTTGTTCATGAGTCCAATCATTCATTTACTCAACAAATAGTTATTGGGTTTATTCCTTATCAGGCAATGCACTAGGCAATAGGGTATAGTAATTAAAGAATAGATGAAGACTGCTTCCTGAGGCTTTTAGTGTATTTAGGGAGCCAAGCCATAAGCAAGTAAACAATCAAATATTGTTAAATGCCCTGTACATGCATTCATTATACATGTACCTGTCTGTGTCCCCTTGCATTGGAGCCTTGCAAAGGTAGGTTGTAGCCTGGGCATCTTTTTCTCTCCTAGAACACTGGATAACTGACCCTGCATGCTTGCAGGAATGTTTGTAAGATAATGAATAGATACCTAGATACAAATACATAAATGGCCTGCGAGTCTGGGCTTATACACAATAGCAAGCCATGTCGTTAATTGGATAGAGTCCTTTGACTCTCTCTGATACCAGAGGAATTCTGACCTATCCCTGCACTGAGAAGGAGCCCTCAGTTTCATCGTGTCTCTAGGTTATGGGCACCATTTCTGTGCTCTGACAGCCCATATAACAGTTGCCTAAATGGCTTTAACCAGGCCAATTTTAGGAGTATGGGATAGAGTCTGAAAATTTCTCAACTTCTTCCCAGGTGCCTCAAGAACCCAAAAGACTGGGAACTACCTCTGACCTTTCTAGATAATCAGCTTTGGCCTTTTTAACTTTAAGAAGAGAGCTGAACTCAAACTCTCTTTTTATTTCATGTTTGCAGCAAGCCTGAGTAGCAAATAGGCAGGCATTCTTCTCAGCTCCATGCTACAGATGAGGAAACGGGGCCCTAGAGTGGAGGGGATTTAGTTCCAGGTGGCCAGGCTAGTTGGGAGTAGAACCAGGGCTATGCAACAGTTCGCCCGTCTCCTGGAGAGTGTGTGTCAGCTATGTTGCAAAGGAAGTCAGAGCAGGCCCAGCTGGAAGCAACTAAGGGACACACGAGAGAGAAGGAAAGAAGGTGGGGAGAATGGAGAATGGGGAGCAGGAGCTGTTCTTCCTACAGTGGATTATTGAAGGAAAATATTAACAAGGCTGGAAAATAAAGAGCCATCTACCTAGACAGTAAGTGGTTAAAGCCTGTTTGTAAACTGCTTACAAAGAGCAACAAGCATTACCAGGTCTCCCTGCCCTAAATCTGAATCCTAAGTGTTGAGATTTTAGATATACTTTTAAAAAATATAGAATGGTGAAAGATCTATAAACTCTCAACATATCAGAATTTAATAACAGAAAATGTTATTAAAGAATGTTACGCATAATAGGGCAAAATTGTTTGTTTTGCATTGAATTGAGATCGGACCCTGAAAGGAGATGCTCAAGGTTCCCAAGTTTGCTATCGCACTTGGGGAGGACAGTACCATTTACTAGTCTCCTAAGTAGACGCACATCATTTTACAAGGCCTCAAACATTTGGGGCCAGCCGCCTTTCCGGTCCACTCAGCCCATCCCACCCACCTAGTGAAATGAATCACATAAAGCTTTTTAAACTGCTGCTCGATTTGCTTGTCACGGACTCTGGTCAAGCGTCCTCCGGGGAAGGAAGGCAGGCTAATTGAGTGCACCAGGAGCACAGCACATCCTGGAAAAGCCGGAAGTGCCATAGGCTTGTGGGGAAACTGAGGCACAGAACACCAGTGGGCCAACCAAATAATTGTTCTTGCAATCACTTCATCTTCTACCGAAACAGAGCACATCACCCTACGCACTCCAGTCTCTCTGCTTGAGCACCCTTCCAGCACCTTCAGGTCCAATACTTGGCAGTGATCTTTGATTTCCTTTTCCCTTTCTGCATCTCCCTCCTGCATGACTGGTCAATGACACCCATCTAGTCCTCCTTCACATTTTCCTTGCCTTTTCCCTATCTTATTTCCTCTGTGAAACTGCCCTTTGCAGACCCTCATTACTTTTCATGTAGACCTAATAGAAGTCAATTCAGTGTAGTTGAAATATGTGGGTTTAACAATGTGTACCAAGGTATATGTCTACCCAAAAACTGTACATGTGACCTTATTTGGAAAAAACGTCTTTAACAATGTAACTAAGCTAAGGATATTGAGATCAGATGATCTTGGGTTAAAGTGGGCTCTAAATACAATGCAAGGTGGTCTTCTATGAAGAGGCTGCGGAAAAGACCCATGTGAAGATGGCGGAGATTGGAGTGATGCTGCTACAAATCAAGGAACACTTGGAGCCACTAAACGCTGGAAGAGGCAGGAAAGAACTCTCCCCTAGAGGCATGGGAGGGAGCATGGCCCTAGCTAAACGTTGGTTTCAGACTTCCGGGCTCCAGAACGGTGAGAGTAAATCTCCGCTGTATTCAGCCAGTACGTTTACATTTGTGGCAATTTGTTATGGCAGCCGCAGGAAAAGACATGCACTGAACATCTCATCTGTCCCAAGAGACGAAGAAATGAATCAGACTCACATCCAAACACGAGCAATGCAATAGGCACAATGATAAAAATTGTACACATGGTCTAGAAGAAAAAGGAGGAAGAAGCTGGTCAAATATTTAAGTGATGGTATAGTCACGGAAGGCTTTCACTAGGTGGTGACAACCAGTGAGGGGTTGAATTGCCAGATGGATGACACGGCGGGTTGACGGTGGAGAGTAAGTACAGGAAGCCTACTCCAAGAGTTAAAGACATCTTCTCCATCCCATCTTGGTCATTCCCCTCTAATTTCTCACCTTTACAGTGAGATACTCCCAGCTACACCCAATATGGCAGGTGCAGTCTGACCAGCACAGAAAGAACTGCCATTTCTTCTGTTGTAAAACTACACTTCTCTCAATAGACTTTTAGGTTCAGTTCTGATTTTTCCAGAAGCTTCTCATTCTAGACACTCAGAGTGAGCTTGCAGGCTGCTGAGAAATCACTAAAATTGCTCTTAAGTCACAATTCTCTTTCAAGGTTTTATACAGTTTGATTTTTGGCACAAACATCATGAATAATAGTAATAAGGTACAACACTATCACTATAATGAAAATCAGAACTGCAAGAAATTTATATATAAGATTTTCACCTAACTGGTCATTGTTTGCATTTTACAAGATATTAATCCATTTAACCCTCCTAATAATCCTATGAGTCCAGTCCTATTCTATCTATCCCCATCCTGCTGAATTTTTTTTGCCTCATGTTCAGCACATGTTCCATCTCCTCAGGAACTGCCGCAGGTTGGGCTCCTGAGGAAGCAGACTCTGAGACAGAGGTGACCATACAGAAAGTGTTTTAGGGCGTGCTCCTGGGACCAACCCCTGTGGAGGGAAGAGAAAGAGGCAGGACTGGGCAGAGGGAAAAGTGGGCTGTGATGCAGTTGCAACAGAGGCCTCAGCGGCCCCCATGGGGAATGAGGACTCTTCTGAGCATCCCACATTGGGGTGGGAAGGCCAGGTCTATGCACCCCTCGGTGGCCCAGTCAGTGGGTATGGGCTGCTCCAGGTGAGGCAACCCTGCTCAGCCAAGGCAATTCCCAAAAAAGGTTGAGAGGGAGACCCGGATGGAGACTGACAGAGTGTAGTACAAGATCATCTTGGATTCTGACTCTTTTATTTAGTGAGTTTGAGGACCCAAAGAAGCCAAGATGGGCTTTGGTTATATTTTTCAGTGGAAGAGAATGAGAAGGAGCAGAAAGAAGGACAACGGATGAGCTGAAGGCAGGAGTTATCCTGAGGGCAAGTGTCCTCTGGGAGCGAGTAGACTGGATATGAATGCAGCTATGCCAACTGAACAAGCTATTCAGTGAATCTGATTCCCATTTTACACATGGGGAAGAGCAGGGGTATAGCACCTTCCTCATATATTGATTGCATGTTCATGATTATATTTATTCTCTAGGGCCCAGTTCTTACCCCAAATGACTAAAGAATATCGTAGTTGAACAACCAGTAGCATCAAGAAGGGCAGTTGGTAATTGAAATATTTCAGCCAGGTCAGAAATGTGGCTTACTCGATTACAGAGAGGCAAAGCTGCAGTTCCAGAACTGTAGCCAAGTGATCGATGTCCATTTTGTTCATTCCATTTGGTCCCTAAGCTGTAAGGGTGCTAGGTGTAAACCTCCTTCAAGTTGCATGTTCCTGCACACACTTCTTCTAAGCCGAGAAGATTTTTAGCACTCTCCTTGAGCAACTAAGTGAAGGTTCTGGGGTCGTGATGCACCATGGCCTAGATGCCATTCAACATCCATGTGCTTGATTTGCCCATCCTTGAAAAACCAAAGGGCACAATAAGCCTTCTTGTTACAGCTTTTTTTTTTTTTAAGTTTAAATATATGTGTATGGGGTCTATTCTTTCAAGTTCATGAAGCCCCACTGTTCATTCCCTATTATCTCACATTTCTATATTAGGAGACTGCCCCCTGAAAATATGAGCTTGTAACACTTCACATAGAAACTTGAGAGGGAAGTCCAATAATGAATTTCTGGCAATGAGATGATTTAATCACCACTCCCCACCTATTCACTGCCTTTGCAGTTTCATGGTGTGATGATTAATTTTGTGAGTCAACTTGGCTAGGCTATGGAGCCCAGTTGTTTGTTCAAACACCAGTGTAGACGTTGCTGTGAAGCTATTTCTTAGATATGATTAACATTTAAATCAGTAGATTCTGACTAAAGCAGATGATGCTTCATAATGTGGGTGGGCCTCGTCCAATCAGCTGAAGGCCTTAATAGCGAAGACTAGGGTTTCCTGAACAAGAAGAAATTATGCCTTGAGACTGTACCATAGAAAGCCTGCCTGAGTTTCCAGCCTATTGCCCCGTGGACTTTAGTTTTAAGACTGTAACATCAACTCTTGCCTGAATCTCCCACCTGCCAGCCTGACCTACAGATTTCTCCCAAAATCTTGTGAGACAATCCCTTAAAATAAATCTCCCTTGCTTTCTCTCTCTCTCTCTCTGGATACATATGTATATACAGTGATACATCTCTTAATGATGGGAATGTGTTCTGGGAAGTGTGTCCTTGGTTGAACATCATAGAGTGTACTTACACAAACCGAGATGGTGGAACTACTGCACAGCTGGGTGATATGGTATAGCCTATTGCTGCTAGGCTACAAACCTAAAGAGCATGTTACTGTAATGAATACTGTAAACAATTATAACACAATGGTACATGTGTTACAAGTACAAAGATATCTAAAAATAGACAGGTACAGTAAAAATAAGTTAAAAAAGATTAAAAACTGGCACACCTGGGTGGGGCACAGTGGCTCACACCTGTAATCCCAGCACTTTGGGAGGCCAAGGTAGGTAGATCATAAAGTCAGGAGATCGAGACCATCCTGCCCAACATCGTAAAACCCGGTCTCTACTAAAAATACAAAAATTAGCTGAGTATGGTGGTGCACACCTGTAGTCCCAGCTACTCGAGAGGCTGAGGCAGGAGAATTGCTTGAACCCCGGAGGTGGAGGTTGCGGTGAGCTGAGATCGTGCCACTGCACTCTAGCCCGGGGACACAGCAAGACTCCGTCTCCAAAAAAAAAGAAAGAAAGAAAAGAAAATGGCATACCTGTATAAGGCACTTACCTTGAATGAATGAAGCTTGCAGGACTGGAATTTGCTCTGAGTGAGTCAGTAAGTGAGTGGTGGGTAAATGTGAAGGCCTAGGACATGACTGTACACTACTGTAGGTTTGGAGACACTGTATGTTTATTTTAGAAATTTTTTTCTTTAAACTTAGCTTACTGTAACTTTTTTACTTGATTAATGTTTCAATTTAAAAAACGTTGACTCTTGTAATAACACTTAAAACAAAAACACATGGTATAGCTGTACGAAGATACTTGTTATATACTTATTCTGTAAACATTTAATTTTAAACTTTCAAAATTTGTATTACTTTTTAAACATTTTTGTTAAAAAATTAAGACAGAAACACACACATTAGCCTAGGCCTGCAGAGGGTCAGGGTCAACGGGATCACTGCCTGCCGCCCCAAAACCTTGTCCCACTGGAAGGTCTTCAGGGGCAATGACAAGCATGGAACTGTCATCTCCTGTAATAACAATGCCTTCTTCTGGAATCTCTCCTCAAGAACCTACCAGAGGCTGTTTTATAGTTAATTAAAAAAAAAAAAATAAAAGGAGCACACTCTAAAATAACAATAACAAGTATAGTCTAGTAAATACACAAACCAGTAACATAGCCATTTATGATTACTAAGTATTGTGTACCTTACGTAATTGTATGTGCTATGCTTTTATATGCTGGCAGCACAGTTTTGTTTACACCAGCATCATCACAAACACGTGAGTAATGTGTGGCATTACAATGTTACAGCAGCTGCAGCATTACTAGGTGATAGGAAGTTTGCAGCTCCACTATCATCTTAAGGGGTCACTATCATATAGGAGGCCCTTCAGTTACCTAAATGTTATATGGTGCATGACTATACACACACACACACACACACACACACACACACACACACAGAGTTGATTCTGCTTTTCTATAGAGCTCTGACTAACACACATCATAAAGATGTAGTCATTGGGAATAGCCTCTTGACAGATACAGTAGGAAAAAAAATGTTTTTAACAGGTAGTAATCATCTAGGTTGTTGCAGGTACTGCCCTGGGTGAGTTGATTTAATCATCACAATCTCTTAAATTAGATACACATGTTGTCCTCATGTTAACAGATGAGAAAACCATGGCTCAGGGCTCTAGCCATTTGGATCCTATAGTTGGACATATCTTGGTTTAAAACCTGTCACTTCAATGAACAGATTCTGTTGATGACTGGTAGTCCATTCTAGGCAACACTGGGTGTCTGAGGAATGGGGGAAAAGGTGCAC